TGGAGCCAGGCTGTGCTGAGAGGCTCACAGTTTGAGGACGAGCAGCTGTAGCAGGTTGCAACTAAGGAATTATACCTGGACAATTGAGGAAAACCCTTCACTGTTAAGTGGCTAATTACAGGAATGAATTGCCCAACTCTTATCCTTGGAAGGCTTCAAAATAGTATTAGACAAGGCCCTGAGCAGCCTGGTCCAACTTGGAAGTTAGCCCTGCTGTGAGCAGGAGATTGGGCTAGAGACCTTCAGAGGTCCCTTCCAAACTCAATTTCTCTGTGGTTCTATCTCAATGATGTAAAATACAATTGAATCAAAAGTGGGCCTGGAAGTGTGCACTGTAGTATCTTACTGGTGACTTAAGCGTCAAAGTGTGCATATCTTCTATCAGAAGTATAAATAAATTGGCCGTGAGGATCATTTTTACTGGAGTGATGGGGAAAGACCATAAGTAGGTAGGTAAGAAGAATCAGAAAAGGCATTCGTTTCAGATCTCCCTTCCATGGAAGGGAGGACAGATCTAGAAGTACAATGATTTCCATCTTTTTTTGTTAGTTCACTGATGAAAATAGGGGAGGAGAAGGAAGTACAAACGAATAGCATCATCTTAGCATGCTGTACTGTCAGAGAGAACCTAGGTTGAAAAAGGTCTGTTTAGTGGTCCAGGTGTTGGTTATTACCTCAGTTTCTCTTTGAGGTGAGTTACACTGATGCCCATGCTTGCATTTAAAGTATTTGAAGTAAAAAATTGACAAAAGCAGTCTCCCAGATGCTGACTGGGTTCTTTTTTGTGGGTCTTACCTTTTTTATTGTAAAAAGTTGAAGCTCTCCTTGGCTCTCAGTAAATCATCAAGAGTTTGAAAACTCTCACCTTGTTATTCTTTTAGATCTGTTTAAAATACAGGGGGATCCTTAAGTTAACTGGTGTTCAGTGTCATAGTAAAAGAATTGAACTATACTGTTGTAACTACCATGACTTAGGGGGTTCTTAGTGCCGAACCCCTATAATCTATTTGAATGTGAAATCTGGAGGTGCTGATGAAAGACCAGTAGGATGGCAGCTTCTGTCTGATTTCTGTCCTGGTTCTTAAAAGACAATTAAAATGGAATAATTCAAAGGATACTGAGGCACTGAGTGTCATAACAGGGTTTATAAACAGGGAGGAAATTGAATTCCTACTTCTGTGTTTTGGCTTCCTGGATGGAGATGGAATGGAATTCCTCATTTTCAATGAGATGGTATTTTCATATAGGCGGAATTACAAGTGTATAATTAGCTTTTTCCCTGCAGTACAGACAGAACCACTGAGGGGAAGCAAGAAAATACTAGAAATACAGATGTGACAAAAGTAGACTTTGCACATTTTCCCACAAGACACTTACCTGGCACCCTAAAAAGTTGCTGAACTCTTTAGAGGTAGTGCCTAGATCGGCATGTCTCTGTTTTGCCGGGAGCTGTAGAGGTAGCTGTAGAGTTTTCTAGGGAACAGTTTGAAAAGATTTGATGCTTCTTCTCTGTTTTCCAGTAGTCAACCCAGAATGAACTTTAAAAAAAAAAAAAAAAGAATAATTAGGATCATGAGTCGCATTTTGGTTGTGACACATGTGCTGCAGTTTCCTAGATCGCACGCTGTCTGTCCTCCTGTGTGATGCTCTGTAGAAAGCACAATGCAAGTACTCGTCATAATCAATAAACGTACAAAATTAGTGAAGCGTGGATACTGTGAATAGTTGTTTGAAATACATAAAATACAATGCCGGCACGTTGGCTAAATAGTGCTATTTGTTTTCATCACTTAGATACCTAACATGCTTTTCATCATGTAACTGTTTAAACATGGATGTTTTGTAAACATTTGTTTTTAGGAATCTGTTGGATCAATCTTGGTGGCTCTATTTGATTTCCTACTCCGAATGGCATCACCTTATAAAGGAAGAATGGTAGTTAGTTGAGTAGATGAGGTATAGAGTGACAGCTTGCAAAACTACTCTTTTTTCTTTCCTTTTTTTTTTTTTTGAAGTGGCTTGTATAGACGAGTTTCTTCTATAGCAACCGTCCTGTGGTAGCACATCATGAAACTATTGTAAACACTTTAAACAGTGAGGAAAATCAAATCCAGCTTGCTGTAGACTAAATGTTTGATCAGGTCTCCCCCTCCGGGTGTGCTGTGGTTTTTTGTTTAGTTCGTTGTATAACTAAAGAATATGCCAAAACCAACTTGATTCTGATCAAATTAGAACATGTTCCTTACTTTGATTTTGGAAGTAAATGTAACACGTTTGCATTAATGCAGTTTAGTCAGAAAATCTGTTGGTTAATATACACTTTATTCTGCTTTTTGGCTGAATTCCAGCTATAAAAAAATATGCTTCTATTAAAAAAAACCAACTGTTTACAAATATGAATTCATTGACAGATGTAGTCTTCTGATAATATTCAGGTGTTTGCATGTTCTAACCAGATAGTGGTTTGTAAGTATGTTGTGTCTTCCTTAATGGCACCATCCTTTCAAGCTCAGCATGTGAAATGTTGTAAACTGTAACAGTAACACCTTTAGGTTTAATATAGTTCCTGACTATAAGTTCCAAGTTAGTTTGGCACATTTATAACCTATACAGTACCTTTGATTAGTCAATGCTCCTGGTTTCGGGGGTGTTTTTTGATTATTTTCCGAACTTGAGCGATATTTGAGAGCACCATGTCTCTGCTATACTTTGAAATCTGTCCTTTAGTCTTAGTAAGCTGCCCTTACCTTTTTTGCAAAAGATGCCCACAGGGCAGATAATGCCTTAAGGTAGTGCGATAGTGTAAGAAGGGAGATGTTTTAATATGTGTGCTTACATGGAATACTGGCGGAATTGTCGAGTATGCATTTTATGTGTTTCCATATTTCTGGTACTTGTGTCTAAGTTGTGAAGATCTACCTCCTCCCCGTCCTTACCCCACCCCAGCACTGCAGGATTCTGGTTGCTCATTAGTATGCACTGGGGTTTTTTTACTAGGCAATAGGAAATCTCACCAGTGGATGAGCATCTAAAGCTATCTCCAGTTGTTCCCACATTTTTCTTAAGTTGAAATAAGTTTGGTCTGAAAAGCATTAAGTTAATTGGCAGGTATGGAATAGCCTCATAAAATACATAGAGCAGGTGACTAAAATTTAAACCTGTCTCTATGTCAAACGCTGTTCACTTTCTCACAGGGATTTTTGTTTAATCTTTAGCAAAAAGGATGCCTTTGGCTATCCTCTTTGCATACACTTGAGGAGTAGTGTTGTCATTATTGCTGATTAACTGAAATGTTTAAAAAACATTTTTATTGGCAAAACAGCTGAGACCTCTTTCAATTGTCACTAAAACAATATAGGCAAAAAATACTTTCTACTGCAAAAGCAAAGCAATGTTACTGAAGATATTAAAAAAAACCCCAAAAAACAAACCACAAACCAACAACCAAACCAATCAAGAAATGGGTCCATTTAACTTTCTTGCTGAAATGCATGTGCAGTTTTTTGGCATAGATTCTGTTCCCGATTTAGTACATTGAGCATGCTTCAGAAATAGGTCGTCTGTTAAATTCGGACATGGTCCATACTGAGAAGTAAGACTGAGAGAAAAGGAAGGTCATTGTCAATTCTTTCTCTTTTTCCTGAGCCTTGGGTGTGTATTGTAGGAAAAAAGAATCACTGTGGTGCATGTGGCAGGAAACATAGTGAAAATCAAATGCTGTCTTTGTTCTATAAATATCCTTAGAATAATTTTAAGAAATAAAAACCAAAACACATGAGAGTTAGTGTTTTTAAGGCTACCCCACAGCTGAGTGTTCCTTCCAATTCTTACATCACTCTTATGTTTAATACGTTTTTCCAGAGAAACGATCAGTTTTGTTTACAGTCTTGCATTCATAGCTATGTTTCTTAGGCTTGTTCCACATGCTGTTGTTTCCTTTCTTTATAAAACTAGATCTACCTACAATCACTTAAACAAACAAACAAACATTTTCTAAGGTTTGTTTCTGGGTATTGTGTCATTGGAAAGTCCTTTTTGTCATGTGGAAGAGGTGTGTAAATATAATTGCAGTTTTAGTGCTGTGTGTAGCCTAGCTGCTTAAGAAGGAGGAGATAGTAAAGTTATTTGAACTGTATTTTTACAGATGCTTTTGTTGAGAGAAAATTAAGTTTCTTGTTTGCTCAATCTGTTTGTTTACCGAGAAGTTATAAATAGCCTGTTCTGTTTAATTGGGTTAACTTCTAAATGCTATATACAGAGATGTAGAAAGCAAAATGCTCAAAGGTGCATTGATTGTATTTTATTTTCCAAATTTTTAACCAATTGCACATTGTTAATTTATCATTAGTCTTTAAATTTGGGCATGAAATCTTTGATAATTTACGAAAATGGGCACTTTATTGAAATTGGCTCTTAAATTCAACTCTGAAAAAAGATATTTGAATGTAGTGCTACAACAGCAATATACTCTGTAAATGATCAGAATTAGGACTGAGATGTGTTTAGTAAGTATTCTCAGAGAAAATAAACCAAATCTTTTAGTTAGACCAGTCTATGAAACTGAGTAGACCTCAAATTGGCCAACATTTATGCTCCTGATTAATTTTGATATCATGGACCTACTTGTTCATTTGCCAAAGCCGTTCTTTGGCATCATAAAATAATAGCCTTTTGTCTTCAAAATCGGCCTACTTTTAGGGATAGTTGCAAGATCAGGATGAACCTCCAGAAATTTAGAGACAACACATAAACTGCCCTTGTTACAAAGAATGGCATTTGCTTATATTTCTTCCCAAATTTTCAAGTTGCTTACTTGGGGATCTTTTTCTGGTCACATTGATCTCTCTATATTTTCTGTAAAATGAAGGTGGTTACAGGTAATTACATAAGATACTGTACGTTTTTATTTTTAAATAAGGTTAAGTGATACATGCAAGTTATGCAGAAAATCTTACATTCTGTAAACAAGTGGCTTATGTATTTGTTTTTTTGCTTTTCAGCTGTACTTTCAGGTTTCCCAGCACAAACATCAAGATAACATTCACAGCTCTGTCCAATGAAAAGAGAGAAAAACAGGAGGCCCCGGAGTCCCCAGTGAAGCCTGTGCAACCCCAGATCTCTCCCTTAACAATAAACATTCCAGACAACATGGCTCACCTGATCAGCCCTCTCCCTTCTCCCACAGGAACTATCAGGTATTTAAACCCTGCAGATTGGCTATAGGGCAATGTATGGATAGACTTCAGACAACTTTCTAATTATTTTAAGTATTTTGCTTCTGTGGTAAAAGTTTAGTTGAAGCTCAGCATTACCTGCGTTGGAGAAAACCACCATTCTGCTAACTAATAAGATAGTTGCATGAACAGCCTTTAATATTCAAATTTAACATGTTAAATGTGTAACAGTTTGCTCAGGAGCCTGGCATTCTTAGAACAGCAAAGGAGCATATCTGTTTCTTGCATTCCAGATGATTTAGATTGCTTTTTACTCTTGCATGCTTATGACAACAATTTAAATGAGATAAGTCTAAATTATACCATTTTTAATCGTTCTGATAGTCGCTGTCCCCTGAAGTTTATCATCAGAAAAAATCTTTTTTTGTTGTCATTAGTGTGGAAAATAAGACTGATCTCATACTCCAGAAGATTTGTTATTGATGAGTCATTGCTGGAAGTAAACAGATGTTTTGCTTAAAATACAGTGTAAGATGCGGAGTTTAGTGTAGAAAAAAAAATCTGGGTTTTTTACTTGCTATGCTGCTTAGTTTGGTAATTGTAGCCATTGTTCGACTTGTTATTTGGGACCAAACTTAATTAAACACAAACGAGCTGTCCTCACAAACTGGTAAAATTCATTTAGTTACAATTTTTAAAATTCATAGAAAGTTCAGGAGCAAAAATTTCACTTAAAGGCACTAAAAGTTGTGTTTCAGAGTCACATACATGCTTTTGAAAGTTTTTCTTCCTTCCCCCCTCTCCCTTCCTGTATCTTCACTTGAGTGAAGGACTGTTAATGCTTGATTTTTAAAAATGCAGATCTTGTTAATGAAATTTGAATGTAAGGATAATTGACTTCTTTCACGCTTGCCAAGATCTCAATATTGTAGTGTTCAATGAGATCTATATAAATGGTAGAAGTAGAGAGAAAAGAGATCTAGACTTGACTGTGTAACAGGTTTGCTTTCTTATTAAAATTCAGGAAAAACATATCTTGCCCAAGAAATGACAGAACAGCTCATAAATATTTCAGATAATATCACATATATCACCAGAGTCTTTGCTTCACTATGAATTTTGTAATTCTCTTCAGGGCTTTCATGCACCTGTTGAGTATAGTTTATTAAAAAAAAAAAAAAAAAAAAAGACGACAGTTTTGAGTCTATTTTGAGAGCAAAGCTTGACAGTTTCTCTTCAAATCATCCTGTTTTGTAGAAGACTTGTAAACTTGCTTTGATTATACCATATGTGTCGCTTTGTCAATATATGCTAAAGTGAGCACAGTAGAGGGATGTTGTCAGTTGATATGTGAAAACATAGAACAGCAGTGACCTATATTTAAAAAAATAAATTAGTTACACGTTTTGGCCCTGATCAAGGATTCTTCCATACAACACTTTAAAAATCCAATCTCCCTTGCATAGTATATCACTAGTAGCAAATTGTCGGTGGATTTCTTGTGATGTGAAACTTGAAGAATATTTTTTGTGTACGTATTGCCCGATCTACAGTGCCTGCCCTGTTTCTGTACATAAAAAGGGAGGTAGCAAAAAACTTGAGAGGCCAGGCAGACAAACAAAACTTGGCAGATGTAAATTTGTTAAAGCTTTATTGTATAAATCTAAATAACGTTCTGTAGCTTTATTCGTTACTAAAAGTTTTGAACCATAGATTCAAGTTAGGTTAAAGATTGTCTTTGGAGATAAGGCTGGTTCTGGGGGCACAGCAGGCTTTGTCATTCTAATTTTTAGTTAACTTTTTTTGAATTTCTGAGGGCTGTGTTGACGGTATGAATTGCTGAGAAGTATGCGTCCTTGTAGAGAACTACCAAAATTTTTCTGGGGGGAAGGGGACAGACATCGCCCACTGACTGTCTCTTTCCTGTTGGCTAAATGCAAATGGTAGAAGAAAATGGGCTTTGTGCAGCTGTGGTTCCTGTGGACTGTGCAAGGTAGGGGGACAACCGTTAGCAAGATGTTACAGTGAAATTATATGTAATTTTAGCTTTGTTTTTCTGTGATGGATAGCAAGACGCGAGGTATCAAGAGCCTGTTCTTTCATTTGTTTGGCACTGTCTTTGCCTTGTAGCAGTATATCTGCTCTGGCCTAATACTGCATTAAATTAGATGAGTCAGTGCCGATGCATCCCATTTATAGATAAGTTTATGATTTTTATACGTACATATGTGTGTGTATGTATGTGCACATACCTGTAAACACTTAAAATAATGTTGGTCTAGATTTAAATGAGAATCAAAACTTTTTTTCCTTCACTGCTTGCTATATTTTCCTCGAATGTGCAGAAATACTGCACAGGAGAGATGATCTTTTTTGAGCAGACTGAATACAAGCATATGGCAGAAATTTTATGCAAGATGTGTTTCTTGTTTCAAATGAGTGTCTTAAAATTTGTGGTTGCTTATGTAGTTAAAGTGGACTTTTCTGTTGGCAAATCTTACACAAATCCAACACAACCTAATAAATCAGTTAATCCTTCTTCCTTTTGAGGAGGAAAGCCTGAGCTTCATTTGACAGGTCTCTTCCTGCAGTGATTTTAATTCCCATGGATGAGTTAGAAAGGCTTGGAAGATGGAGTTTATAATGGAAGTGCTGACAGACCCTTAACTGTAGTCTAGAAGCTCTGGTAGTGGGCTTTTCTGCAATAAGAGCTTTTTGATTAGACATAATGTGGTGATATACTGTATAACAAAATAGTAGGATCTTCTTTTTATGCTCTACAGTGCTGCAAATTCCTGCCCATCTAGCCCCCGTGGTGCAGGCTCTTCAGGGTACAAAATGAGTCGTGTAATACCATCTGACCTACATTTAATGGCTGACAATTCACAGTCAGAAAATGACAAGGAAGCATCGGGTGGAGATAGCCCAAAGGTAAACATGGTTTGAAATCAAACCCATAAATTACATTTTAAGTGAATGTAAGACTTCTGAAATTTCGTTTGCTAAAGTATATGCACAAAGTCATAATTTAACATTACAGACTTTAAAAAGAATTTGTAGGTTTTTGTGATTAGATGTGAGATTTATTTTGACCTCTCTTCCCTTTGGGGGAGGGTCGGTACGTATTTTCAGTTATGTATCTGTTTATAGGCTGTTGAAGGTTCTTTACTGTTGTACGTTTTCCCAAATTTTTAACGTTATCTTAAAATCTGCTAATCAGAAGAGCGAAATTGTCTTAAGTTTCTTTTCTGCCTCAAGATTCTGGTTGTCCAAAAGTGCCTTAAATGCAGTTAATTGTGTTTTGTAACTTTTATTTTAGAAAGGGGTGTGTATATCTTTAAAGTTTATTGATGCAGACTTTTCTTTTTCTTGTACAGGACGACTCTAAGCCACCTTACTCCTATGCACAGTTAATAGTACAAGCAATTACAATGGCACCTGATAAGCAGCTTACACTAAATGGAATTTATACGCACATAACTAAAAATTATCCATACTACAGGACAGCAGACAAAGGCTGGCAGGTAAATTTGATTTCTGGAATTGTTTTTTTTAGTTGTGAGTAGTACTGGCAGCTATAAATGGTCATAAGAAGTCAGTTGGTGAGCCTAACACCCCTTCATAAATAGAATTTGTCAAATGAGTGTGGTGTCTTCTTCCTGATTGCAAGTTCTCCAGCAAAGTAGGCAATTTACATTATTCTGTATTTGAAACATTGCTTTATTCATGGAATGGTATTCTTTAAATCTCTATCAGGGATAAATACAGAACTTTGGGGAAGTACAATTGGCACTGTGGATTGAAATATACGTATGCTATCTAGGAATGTAGTTGGGTTCTGTAACTTATAATTGTGTGAACATCCATATTGTTATCTTGAGGTACAATTAAGATATTAAATGTTACAAGTTTAGTTTTATTTCACAACAGTGAGCTTGGCCATGCAATGCAGCGAAGGAACAAGTGTGTGTTATCTGTCATTATCTTGCACTATTATGTGCCCTCTTTTATTTGTGCAACATAGTCTATTTGTGAACTTAATCGTTTCTGTACTGAGTTAGACCAAACCCTTCAGTTCTGTAGAATTAATTTCTGCTTTCTTTTCATTTTTAAAGAGACCAACCTCAGCATTTGCCAGGATGACTAACCGAGTGTGAATCAGTCTGGCATAGTCTTTCCAGATACGCATAAAGGTTCAATGCCTTTGCTGCTGTTTTTAGTTTCGGCAAAGGACAGAAGAGCACAATTAGCAGGACTGGCCAGTCTGCCCGTGTAGCATTCAGACTGCACTGTCGATCACAGAGTATCAGTTTCACTGTGTTGCTGCTTAGTACAGTCATGATCTGCAACAGAGGCATGCTCTGAAGTTATTTTCAGGGAAGTAAAATTTGGAGAGACTGGGGGAGGGGAAAGGTGAGGAAATGTTAATACTCAGTGTACAAGTAGAAGACTAAAGAATACATGCCTTCTCAGTAGAGGAATAAACTTTTAAATGTTAATCACATACTTATTTGTCATAGGGCCTGTATGAAAGTTGGAACACTCTTGGAGGAATTCCAAGGTTACTGAGGAATGTAACTGTTCCTAGCTTTTTGCTGTGGTCTGGCTAGTAAAGGACTTGGCTGCTGTTGTGGCTAGGATGCCTGTGAATTTTGTTTCCCTTTCACATGTAAGCAATGCAGAATCCTGGCTGCAGTCATACTAACAAATCTGTTTTAGCAACAAAATTCTGTTTATAAATTGTTGGTGTGCTTTTTGCTTCCTATTCTGAAGTACCTTGAATATCTGCGTGTATAATGATTCTTCATGTAAGCATCATGGAACCCAACGTGCGTACACATTGTAATGCACGGTTGAAGAATTCTGCCGTAGAACAGTGTATGTGTATAGATGTATAATACTTCACAACACCAAGGCGATAGACAGAGCAGACATAGTATGTTCTGGAATAGTTAATTAGCACCTATTCATAAAAATAATTGGAAAAGCTGAAAGTTAGGTGCTGTTCAGTCAGTCAGTAGTCCTATAAAGCACTGCTATAACATTAACAGGTATACCTCACGTATGAATAGCTCTGCTAGCTTTTATCCATCAGGTATTAGATTATAGTTAGGGTGACTTACATGATAGGTGTTTTAAATAATATTTGAGGCTACATGTGCACATATAATTCAAAACACAGAGTACATACATGTGTATAGTATCCAAATCCTATACCTTAATAAGTCGTTTTGAGGTATTTATATCCTTTATTATATAAAGGTCTCATTTTTTTTGAGGACTTGAAGACTCCTCTTCATGAACTTATTTTAGCAGGTACTTTTGGATCTACTCTTTCATTCTAGCATATGGAGAAATAAATACAATTTATAAACATGTTCTTGACATCTTTCTAGTTCTGTTTCAATTTTTGGCAGGGAAAACCATTTCTGGTTTCATCAGTTTGCATGTAAGAAACCATACATGGGTATTATTGCGTTAAGTTTTCCAAACTTGCCATCAGGGTCATGAACTCAGACACTTGAGCAGGATTTGCATTTGATTTTGCAAATTTTTGAAGAGCTTTTGTTAACCTAAAGCTTTTTCTCCATTTTTCCCCTGTTCCCCCACAAGTATTTCAGTATGTATGCTTATCTTTATTTTTTTCTTGTTCAGTGATAATATTCAGAGAGCTTTCGGGTTTATATTTCTCAAAAAAAGTGCAAAGCTGAGCACAGATACAGCCACTTCAGGGTGTTGGCAGTTTTCTACATCTCTCTGATCAAAGAGCTGTGTGTGTGTTACAGCAAAGTGAGGATAAAGGAATGTGCAATTAGAGTGCAGTAACGAAGATCTCGCTGAAGAGCTGTTTTAGGACCTACTGCCATTTGTTGTTTTTCTAGGCACACTAAATCCTTGTTGAGACAGACTGGACTGGGGGTGAACTCCCAGCCATCTAGCTGCATTTGGAACTTGTGTAATTTAACCTTTTCTTTCTGTATTGTGGAACAGTAACAGGATTATCATATAAGATCAGAATCAGTATATGCTGTATTTTACTGGCCCTTCTAGAATGAACTGACATTGGCACCTGGGGAAGGGTGGGGTATGAAGACTGATAATTTTTCTTTTTTTTCTTTTTTTTTTTTTTTTCATGGGATTCTTGTTACTGCCGCATTAGCATACTGTTTTTTTTAATTGTTGGGAAAGATTTGAAAAATGCAAGAGTCCTTTCAGGTTTATGGCACTGCCTTTGTAGTGCTCTGAGTTCTGTTGAATTAAGGAATTGAAGAGCTGAACCCCGAGTCTCCTATAGTACGAACTGCTGCAGTAGGCCACATTCTGACTTGGAAAAGTTATATGAATTCTACATATTTTTTTATGTTCCATAGAATTCAATACGTCACAATCTCTCTCTGAATCGTTATTTCATCAAAGTACCACGTTCCCAGGAAGAACCAGGCAAAGGCTCATTCTGGAGGATAGACCCTGCCTCTGAAAGCAAATTAATAGAGCAGGCTTTTAGGAAAAGGCGGCCTAGGGGAGTACCTTGCTTTAGAACCCCTCTGGGACCACTCTCTTCTAGGTAAGGAAAAACAGATGAACAAAAAGACTATGGCTGTTGTTTAATCTTCAGGCTGATACAGACTTGATAGTTTTGGATACAGTCACAAGTTTAGTAATTTAATTTCATCCAGACTCAGTATCTGAATTCTGTATGACTTACTAGGAGGCTGCCCCATACACCAGGCTTGTTTTTATTGCTTGTTTTTAGTGTTAAAGAACTGACTCAGTTTGCATAACTAACTGTCAGACTGTTAATGTAAGCAAGCCTTGTTGTACCTTTGGTGTTTTGTTTTGTTTTGTTTTTTAACAGAATTATAATTTTAGTTTCTAACTGCCATCTACTGCCTTTTAAAACTGTTTGCAAAGAAAATTATCAAATACTGGATCCCATTTTATTGAACTTGGAGATGACAATTACGTATTTAGTTTGATAATGTTCAAGCAGAATTCATGATGGGGAAATATGTGGGTTTAAATTATTCCCTCTGTAAAGTTGTGGCCTTTCTGCTGGTGCAGATCTTTTATTACTTGCCCTATAGACTGAGATTTGCTCATCATTCTTCTCCACCAGAAGAAACGTTCATGTTTCACAGATCGTTTAGACAGTCTCCCTAAGAAGGCATCCAGCCACTTCTTCTCCATTAACTATATCTGAAGTTTGCTTTTAAATTCTGTCCCTGTTTAACGGAAGCTTTGTAAAAGATCACCAGAACTGCTTTGGGCTGTAACTGTACTTGCCAGAAGGCAGAGGTGCCCTCCTGTGGGCAGTGTGTGTTATGGTCTCTTTAGAGGGAGGTCACTCTTTCACAGTTCAGAAGTTAAAACACATCAGCTGCTGCTTTCATTTTTAAATACAGAAGTGCCCCAGCTTCTCCTAATCACTCTGGAGTGTTGTCTGCGCACTCCAGTGGAGTCCAGACCCCCGAGAGTCTGTCCAGGGAAGGATCTCCAGTCCCAATGGAACCTGAGCCTAGTGCTATCCAGCCAAAACTAGCGGTAATACAAGAAGCGCGATTTGCACAGAGTGCCCCAGGTGAGGAATCCTGAAATAAAGGTTTGGGGGAGAGGGCTAATCTGTAAGTATTACCAAGACTCCATATGTACGCCAAAAAAACGGTAAATATTTAACCTCTTAACATTTAGAGCAAATCTTTGATAAACACGTAACCATGCCAAGTAAACTCTGTTTGCATACATACGGACTGTTATCTGTGTGCTGTTCCAGCACCCTTGATCACTTTGTTACTAAGCAGAGATTGTGCTTCTGTCCTGTATAGGACTGTACTGTCTCGTAACAGTTGTCACTTCTTTTCAAAACATATTCTTTCTGGTTTAGAAAAAAAAACCCAAAACTTCAGGTTACATGGGTTACAGAAATAAGGAAATGTCTTGCACGCACCTGTGGTCATGTCATGCTTTCAAAGGTGGGAATGAAAAGAACTGAAAGAATAAAGAGAGAAACAATAAATTTGCGTGATAAGAATTTTCCTATTTAAAAAAAAAAAAAAAGAGCGTAAGGCATGATGGCATAAGGATGTATTTGTTTAATTACCTTAGCTCGTATACTTTTGCCATCCATTTTCTTGGTGATATTCTGGTCCTACAGAAGTGCTAGCGACCATTCTGTGGCAAAGGCAAACATGGTCCTAAGCAGAGACACCAGGCTTTCCCCAGCCAAGGAAGCTGAGAATTTTGCCAGTGTAGACATGCTCCACACAGCGCCTGAAGCACATACATGTTTCCGTCTATGGAAAGGAGTTTTACTAAAGAAGTATTAAACATAGCTTTAGTATAGCTGCATGTGGGGGGAGGTAGGAGGGGCTTTTGCCCAAGTGGTGTATGGGTCTTACTGAGCTAATACAGCACGTACCTCGAATATGTGGCTTGGAATAGCCATGTGTCATAATCTTCATTGTCTGGTTTTATCTTTTGGATCATTCAGGCATTAGTGAAGGAGGTCGTTAATCCTCTGAGGCTTTAGTGTTAAGTTTAAAAGAAACAATTAAAATTGGCAGCCTAATTTGTATCTCTTTCTTGCTAGGATCACCTCTATCTAGCCAACCAGTTTTAATTACTGTACAACGGCAGCTACCACAAACTATTAAACCCGTCACCTACACTGTTGCAACTCCTGTGACAACATCGACATCCCAGCAGCCTGTAGTTCAGACAGTGCACGTTGTCCACCAGATACCAGCTGTGTCTGTCACAAATGTGACTGGATTAGCACCAGCAAACACCTACACTGTAGCTGGCCAGGCAGTAGTCACGCAAGCTGCGATGGTAACCCAGCCCAAGGTAGAACCTCAAGAGAATGGAGACCACAAGGAAGTAAAAGGTGAGAACCTGTGGGGTTAGTTGTTTTGCTAGCTCTTCATGCAGAAGGATTATTATCTGAAACTTACTTCCAGATGAATGCTTGAAATGTTTGACTAAAACAGAAGATTTTGCATCATAATTTCTCAGATATGTTGGAGCTAGTAATAAAACGGTATACTTCTTCACTGAGGGTTGATTGAGTAAAAACAAATGGTTCTTTAACACTTTCTTGTTTTTAACAATGTTTTATCTTCTGTTTTTCAGTTAAAGTGGAGCCTATACCTGCTATTAGTCATGCTACAATAGGAGCTGCTAGTCGTATCATTCAGACATCTCAGACCACACCCTTACAGACAGTTACTATAGTGCAACAGGCACCTCTAGGTCAACACCAGCTACCAATAAAAACTGTAACGCAGAACGGAACGCACATAGTACCCATCACCACTGCGATACAAGGACAGGGCAACGCTGGTACGTATCCTGTCAAGATGTTCTGTTGCTTTGTACGTGTTAAAACCTCAAAGTGACCAGTGCTGAAGTTTTGAATACTGTACATGTCTTTCATAGTTATACTGAAAACTAAGTTCTAAAAAAAATTTAGATTACAGCCTTGTAAGGGATTCTTCCCTCCCTGTTGGTAAGAACCAGTGTTTCTGTTCATTGATGATTACCTGAACGGCTGTTTATGCTCTTTGTGGTCATTATACGGGTGTACTTAGTGGTGACAACCCATCCTCCTTCCTCATTAAACCCAGGATATAAACAAGCTTTAAAAGAAGTTCCTGTAAAATGGTGCCATTAAAATGGTAACTGCTCCCCAGATGATTTGTCAAGAACCAACCAACAGGAAAACAAGACACAACTTGCTTGTGGGTTGGCTTTTTGAACTGTTCCTTTTTATTCTCTTTGTATTGAACCTGTACTAAAAATGACAACAATTCTGTCAGACTTTGAGATTCTTCTTGCCTGAATACCATCTTCCCCCTCAGACTCGGCAGTCTGAGTCAGTAGCAGTACTTCTTCATAGTTTTCATATATTCACACTTGTTCACAGAATGTTCGGTTTTGGTTTGCTTTGCAGGTGCATGCAGCTTGTTTTAACAGTTTCACTTTGAGATGTTATCTGATACTGAGATAGCTTTTTTGTCATAAAATATGTTTATGGAAATAGTTTTAGGTTATATTATATCAATTTATTACACACATTTCTGCTCTAAAGTCTTTCTAATGGACTGAATTATCTGCTTTGTTTCTTTTTTACTCTTCCTCCATCACTGACACTTATAGGTCAGTGTTCTGTCTGCTTCCACTTCATTTCCAGCTTAAGTAAAGCAAAAGCAATCACTGTCAGACTTCATATGCACTTTTTTTGTCAGAAGGGATGTATGAATTGAGCCGAGTCACGTGAAATATACTGAAAAGTTACGTTTTAAAAGTAAAGAATGATTCTTTTTCTTTTTCCTAGATTCTAATACTCAACTGATTTCAGCATGTTTTCCTTGGTAGGGAAGCCTAATGGCTGCTAGGCATTTTTAAGAAATGTGGCTGAACATAGGAGTAGAGTTGTGGTGCTTCTCACTACTTCACTGTGTGTGATAGAGGTGCGCTAGCCGTGATGGGAGTTTTCACTGAGATTCCTGAGCTTAAACAGCTAATGAGATGTTCAGACTTTGAACAGCAAGTGAGGTGTGTTCCAGGTCCTGATCTCTCTGTTACAGTAACTCCTAAAGCAGCAAGAAACCAGGTAATTCTCAGGCAAAGCATCTGAAGGGGGAACTAGGCCTACAGAAATACAGATTTGTTTGTACGTGTCTACAAATATGTCTGCGTTCACGCGCATACATCTGTATTTACACACACATTTGTATGTGTCTGTGTGTGTGTTTATCTCTGTCTTTGGAGAAAGAGGATTTGTGCAATCTGAAAGCTAAAAAATCCAGAGTAACTACTGTTGTTCTAACATTTTCGATTTGTAGTAAGAAGGTGCTTTCAGATCTTACTCTCAACAAAACAGTTTGGCAGTGCTTTTTACTACCTGTCAGTCTAACTGAAAGCTGTGAAAGTCCAAAATAAATTCAGGTCTCTCATTGCAGAATAAAATTATGTAACTAGATAGTCTTTATTTTGACTTTCAGTGTAGATTTCAAACATCATTGCTCTTTCGTGTATTTCATGCTTCCACGTATCAGCTGGGGCTGCAGCCAGCAAGTCTCTTCCTGCTAAACAGGCCCCAGAGTGAACAACGCAGTCAGAGTCTTAATGCATGTTTGAAGATGAGGGGTAAACTTCTTGTTCTTATTTAAGCAACAATAAATTTGCAGTAAGGCATTTTAGTCAGAGGTGACTGTATCTCTATGGCATCTATGCAGAAATTGTACAAGGAATAGCTTTTCTAATAGAAGGTGAATGACTGTTGAGATACACGAATAAATTATTTTACAGTGCAGTGAAGCTTTTTGTATCGGATAAATATTTTCTGAAGTATTTCTTCTACCAGTAAATACTAAGTACAGAACAGTTTGGTTACATGCAGAGGTGATATTCTGGGTATTCTCTAGGATAGCTCACTAAGAACAAATATAACAAGTTTAGCAAATAAGGAATTCCTTACGGACTTCACGTTTAAGCTCCACTAGCAGGGAATGCTGTAATAATGTCAGCAAAGGAGTGGTGCTGAAGAAAGGGGGTTTGTGTGTAGAGAGAAAAAAAAAAAGGCAGGTGGTTTGATAATGTTTAGATAAATTTTCATGAAATGCAATGAACAAGTAAATATATAATTAGTATTCTGCATTAGTGGCAAAGACATTTGAGTAATTGGTTTGATAAAGTCAGGGTCGATATTGAGAAACAGACTGCTAACAAGTAGAGGGAAGGAACCTTTGGATGCCTCAGAAAGTTTAAAGGACTGTACTTGCCCATTAATGGCCACTTGTACTCTCTCTTCCATGGAAGGGGAAAGATGAAAATCTTGTATAGGATGTTTGAACTGTATGCGTTTCTGTTGATGTAATTCAGTTGGGCACTTGAATCTAATCCAATATGTCATTTCTTAATACTCCTACGTGTTAAAGCACTGCCTTTTCCTTACATTGTGGGTAAATGCCTGATTAGCTGTCAAAGAGGAATTGCTGCTTGAGTTGTCTGCATCTCGTGGCTGCGTGAATTGCACAGTTTTTCTTAACTAACTTACAGCCACAGATGAGTATGTCGTGATGGTGCTCTCCTTCCAGGCCGAGTCATGCATTCTGCAGTGATCCATAGACACGGCCAGAACCCACTGAAAGGGGATTCTGAATTCACTTCCCAGTTCGGTCACAAATTACGGTGTAGACTGGCTTTCGGGCATTTAATCTTTCTCTGTCTTCAGCTCCCCATTGACAAAATGGAGATATTTCCCCATTCCCGCCCCCCCTTTGTCCAAATCTGGATGAATGTTGAGTGATTTGGGAAAATGTCTTTCAGGTTTGTACAAAAGTTAAACAATTGGACCTGAATCTCAGCCGGGATTGCTAATACCCCATGTGGTACAAACAAAGGAATTCATGGTTTTGATGAAAATGCCAGTTTGCTTTCCGTATCCTCTCTTTTGACAGAGATTAAGGTGCTGAAGTCTTTATTATCTTTTTACAGCTGCTGCGAGTCCTTTGCATATGTTAGCAACCCATGCATCTGCATCGGCATCTCTTCCAACAAAGCGCCAGAACGGAGACCAGTCAGAACAGCAGGAACTCAAACGTATCAAAACAGAAGACGGAGAGAGCATAGTCATAGCTGTTAACGTGGACACCCCATCTGTGGCAGTGAGTGATAAAGGCAGCCAGAACTAGAAACTTAGGGGAGTTTTCTTTTTTTTAAAAAAAAAAATAAACTCCATGGTGCCAAAAGGAGACACTTAAATATAACACCTAAAATGTTGGAACATGTTCTCACGCAGTGGGGAAAGGGGCCCTGTGATCAGACTTCAACTTTCAGCACTGAAAAAAAAAACTACACAGGTGGCCTTAAAACTCGGTAATTTAAAGTCAAACTGCAAAACATCTTGTTCCAGAGGCTGTGACCCCCGCTCCTCCCTGCCCCCTACTGAACTGTGTACACTGAGAAATACAGTGTTGGGGAGGGCTGCAGCTTTAAAAAAATCTTTATCAGATTATTTTAAGGACTGAGTATCTCAGTGTAACGGCAGCATGATAAGCGCTTAGTGTGAACTGGTTTCAAACGATTGTATATTCCTTAAAGGGAACAGAGGCAAGGAGCCATTTCCTACATCTTGGCAGCTAGCCTTTCATAATGACCTACCCGATGCAGTTGTTGGTAGATATGCAGTATTTTGTTGTTCACATGTGGAATTAGAAATTTTTGAGGTGTATTTTCATTTCTTTGCAAAATAATGGGGTCTTTGACATTTCAAATCACTCCATTTCTACTCCGGAAACTTTGGAATCACACAATACTTTTCATGTGAAATTTTGTTTGGTAAAAAACTGAATGTAGGGTTTTTTTAACCAATGGAATGATTTCCTTTTGTCTGTCCTGTTAAAGTTCAGATAAAGCTACTTTATTACATCTGCAAATTTTCATATTTTAGCAGTTGCCTGATAAATTTAATCAAATTTTATTACCATGTGTAGTGATCAAATGCTTCTTTGGGCTTGCATGTAACTGATTAGAAATTACAATGTAAATGAGCCGTTAACTGACGTAAAGAACTGCTATGAATTTGACCAGAGCTGCACTTATCTGTTTCTCTTTCTGCTACCTTTTGCTGTTTGTTACTTTGTGTTGACTTTGACTGTCCCTGGCATATTTTTCCAGTCTAAAGTAAAACAAGAGTCTCGCTTAATATTGTGTATGTTTAAGATAACAGACTGTTCTTCATTTAGAAAGATAAAATTCTTTATCACAAGTCCTTTTAAAAAGAGAGTAAAATTATCTTGTCAGAGGTATATTCGATATTTTTAAGCTTAAGCACCCATCAGTAGAAATTAATCTGACCGGTTTCTCCGTAACACTTTTGATGTCATACACTGACCTTTGAGGGTCTCCATTAAGAGTAGCTGTTGTGGTTTTCTAACAGTGGCTACCATATTATTATAATAATTTTTTTTTAAGTGTGCGTTCTGCAGTTGAACATTTTAAAATGTATTGGTAATTTCTCACTTTAATTGTGGTAATAGATTCCACTTTACATTTCAAAATTAAATTTAAACGTAAGGCTGCTGTTCAGTCTTCAATTCACACGACGTCTTATTTCCTCATGCAGTAAGGTGAGTGAAAGCTAGATAGTTGGCTTAATTTGAATCTGATTTTTGTCATTTTCTGTAATAATGATGCATTATTTATATTTCCTTTTCCGCTATGAAAGGAAAAACCTGTAATTTCATGATGGACTGAACAGTTTGGAGTGGTTTATTTAGGCAGCTTTTGGGAACTATTTACCTAAAGACCAAATATGAGAAATCTGTACAAGTTTTGTGTTCATCCACAAAATGGAACTGTTACAATGTCTCTGCAGATAATACATATTAAAAAACTATGAAAAAAAAAAAACTCTACACAAGCTGAATTTATAACAGGCATTTAAAAAAAAGCATAACCTGAAAAGAAACATTTCTGTAAAATTGCAACATTTTCTTTAGAGGTTTTAAAAATAAAAAAAGTAAAGTTTTAACATACTTTTTTTAAGAAAAAAAATCCAATACTAGTAATTTAATTTGGTGTTGAATGAATTGACTAGAATGTGGTTTATTTTCAGAAGTGAGAATCTGTTCACAACTAGGGCTAGGTGAATAATAGTGTATAAGATTTTTTAAATAAAATTAAATTTTATTCAGCAAATTAACTAAGTTGAAATTACTCAACAAGTGTGTTTGCAATACGTATGTATATTTGGGGGTGATGAAGCCAATTTATGTCAGCAGTGCCAAAGGAAACGGTGTCGGACCAAACAAGGCAAGGTGATCCTTGCTGTCAGTTAATGGTAGGCAAGCTGCACGCGATGCCCTCCTGGGTGGAGGGGGAGATGACAGCGTGGTCTGGGTCCCGACTCGGTAGCGTGGTGGTGTTCCGCACCTTTTGGTGCCTGTGGAATTGGGCACAAGGACGCGCCTTCCTCCAGACGGATAAACCCGTTGAAAAAGCCGTGCGATGTGAGAAAACTGCTTCTGTTCTTACCTAAAAATAATATGTGCTTATCTGTGCTTTTGGTGATGCTGAAGAACGCTCACACGGGATAATCTGCGGTGCTTTTGACCAATGCAGACTGCTCTGTCTTACGTGTCGGGCCTCGCTAAATGGAGTCGTTGGGTTGTTGAAACAAAACGGCTGCCCGGTTTGTCTGTGTACTTATGTGTCTCCCACCACGAATGCAGTGATGGTTACCGCCTAACAGCAAAGGCTGAAGGAGACTCCTGTCACGCTGCCGCTCTGAGGTGATGCTCGTGACCTTTCTTAAATGGCTCTTACGTGCTGATCATCCTGGCCTCCCACGGTCAATACGATCTTGCTTTTGCAAGTGGAAAGTTTCTTCGGGTGACTCACGTACGTAGAGATTTGACCTCTCTTTAGGAATTGATGTACCCTTTCCAGGTACCTGTTGTGTTTTATGATGCATGGCGTTATTTCCTTTTGGGCTCCTTCTGTTCAGTGTTCTTTCTGCTAACAGTCAGCTTTTGTGTAATCTTGAAAATGACTTTGAAAAAGACTCGGAATTGTAACGTGTGGAGGACCTAAGCGCGCGTTTGCTTCTAGTGACAGAAGAGCTCATCTCCACTGCCAGCGTCTTCTGTCCCCCGTGCGCGAGATCCCGCTCCCTGTCCTTACGCCAGCTGTTTCCGATCCAGCTGCCGGTGGCAGTGCCCCCCACCCCAGCAGCTCCGGGCAGGCGGCCGCGCAGTCTCCTGGGCGGTGGGATACGCTTGCCTTTGGACGCGACAGTTCTGCCTTTGGGCTGGCCGTTGTAACAGCAGCTGTAGGGCGCCGAGTGACCCAGCAAAGCGACACCGAGTCTTCAAAACAGAGAGGGGCTGCGGATGGAGTGGTGTGAAAGACCGCTGCTTTTTGATCGCTGGGGTTAGTCTCAGTTCTGAGCGGCTGCCTCCCCCCTGCCCGCACTGCGACACGTTTACCCCAGCGGTAGCAGTCTCTATTCTGCCATTTTGAATGGTGCTGATTTAGGTCAGTACCTGTACCCCGCTAATCCCCAAAGGTACAGAAGCACTTCTGCTTCATGAACCACTTCACAGGACAGACTGCTGCACCGGAGGCAAAACTGGGGAGACCTGGCCTTCGCTTGCATGGTTGTTACAGTACAGCTTCATTTTAAAATGTTGGGTTTTATAATTCCTTAAATCCCAAAGTGGAACTGGACGTTTCAACAATCTGTGTTCAGCTCTGTGGTTTGTTTCTTGATTTAATTTCCCCAAAAAGGTAAATTTTGAGTGGTTGGTAGTCGTTAATGCGGGTTGGGTTGTGATCTTATATAGCATGGGATTTTATATAGTTGTGCCTTTATATGCGTGTGTGAGAGAGATGGATATTTATCTAAAAATACATATTTTTATATATATTTATCTCTCATTTACACTAAATCGAGTGCTGCTTTCTACTAACGTGATTGACCCCTTTCTATACATGTATCTTAACTATATAGTCTTCGTGTTCTTAGTCAGAAGCCTACATCGTGTCTGACACACAGTTAATCGGTAAAGGCAACGTCTGACGTTAGTAAGTGCATGGGCTGCTTTTAACCACCGCGTTCTTGATCTTATTTGTGGACTGGCAGATGAAAACGAGCTTTACTCCTGCTTTGGCTTGTTTTCTTTCCTATTAATCAAGCCAGACTTTGAATTAAGAATCGGTTTTGGTATCAGAGAATCTCATTCTTCTAGAAGTTGTGTTAGCGTTTGGGGCTGGTTTCAGGTACGTAGCCAGGGATTTGCATTAGTTCAGCGATTTGACTTCAAGAAACCGCTGGCCACAAATGTCTTGATTTAGCACAGGCCGCCATCCTAACGGAGATTATTTTTTTTTGTTGTTTAATGAGATGTGCGCTTTCTGGAATAATTTTCATTAATGTTGGTTTGGCTTCTGATGATCTTTTTATGCGCTAGTTCTGTTCTTTTTGTTTCTCATCAGAGCTGGGGAAATGCTTTTGTCTGAAGTACTGGAAGAACTTTGGTACCAGAGTGCTGGGTCGGTTTTCATGTCGATGCTTTCGAGAAGTGCTGGGGAGAAACCAAAGGTGGCTACGAAACTCCTGTAAAGGGCTGGACCGTTGGAAGGTGAAGGAGCACAAATCCTGCTCCGCCACCAAAAAGAACGGACTATTGTGGGAAATTCCCCAGGACCTCTTGCAGCCCAGACCAAACAGAGGCACTGGCTTGTTTCAACAAATACAACCTTGGGGGAAGAAGAAAAAAAAGTGGTGTAAAATGGGGGCACTGAAATGGCGTAGTAAGGAAGAGGTGGATTCGCTAGCGCCTGACTCCAGGCCCTTCCGAGGCGGACGTTATTCTGCAGCCTTTGCATTTAGCTCAGCGGCGTCTGCCGCCGTCCCTGTGGCCTACAGATACAAGAACCGGCCCTGCGTCTTGCATTCTCTAACGTTACTGATTAATCTTGTGTTTTCTAGCTTAATGTGAATGCTTACAGGTTCTGAATGAAACGCTTGTACTCTGTGGCTCCTGCGGGCCCATACCTGGAATTACCACTGAGGTTTTTGCCCTGGCTAATCTTGCAGTTTTCCTTTCAGGATTTTGAACTGTGACACAGGTGCCGCGGAAGGAGACAGCAAAACAGGGGGAGAGAAGGGGTTGAGTCATTTTTAAATACAAAAGAAATTAATAATCCGTATACTGAAATAGCTGACGCTGCTGGAAATACCTTGAGTCATATTTTAGACTTTCTGTGCAAATTCACAGATGAACACCGTCTGCACCACAGCCAGGGTGCGTTCTGTTGAGCAGGGCTGTCTCCCGGCGCCACGCGTCTGCAGCTAAGACAACCGTACGTAAAGGAATAAATGCTGTTGGCCCTCTGGACTATACTACTCATCTTCAGCTAACAACTTGACATTTTAAAATCTATTTAATCCTTTTGTGTTGCGTAAAGTAGGCTTCTGACAGCGTGCCTTGCCCCCCTCGAGCAGGGGTACGTTCGAAAGGCGACTGCTTGCTTATTCTGGTCTTTTCAAACGTGCCTTCGGTCAAGCGCGTGCCCGTGCGAGGAAAGCGGTTCCGTAACACCCCGCCCAGGAGGGCAGGGTCTCTGCGAGGCCCAAACCACGGGCAAGCGCCGGGCTGTGTACCACAGCGCCATGAGTGTGCCGCTGCAGGCCTTGGGCCGGAGCTCCACGGCGTACCTGGGCACCGCAGCCACGCAGCGGCGTAAACAAATCAACAGGGTGGCTGCGTGGTCTGTCAGCTATTAAAGTACTATTTAGTTTCCAAGGAGCGAGGAACCTTATCTGATTGTAGAGGCGTGTTTGTCCACTGTCCCGCTTACAGCAAATCTCGGTTAAAATTACCGACGCGATGCAGTACGGCGGAAAGGGGTGTGCTGAAGTACTGGCAGAGCAACCTGGAGCCAGCGCCAGGTGGGAAGACCCATTCTCTTACCTAATTTTTGATCCTTAAAGAGACGGATTTGCGAGTAGTACAAAAAGGAGGAGTGGGAGAGTAAATACACTGAGGGATTCCACCGTTAGTACGGCGCTACTGCCCGCGTGTGCAGGTGGTGGTATCGTCACTCCTGCTGTCCCGCTAGAACGGATGTTTAGGGGAACTTTCACAAGTTCAGTAGAGTTTTAATCAACCCAGCAATATGCTCGCAGCCCCTCTGGTCACCTATAGGAGAACTTCAGTGGGAGGACGGGGGCGGTGCTTCAGCAGCTTAAGGTTAAAGTAGTTTCCTTGCCCTTTCAAGCGAGCGCAGCCGACTGGATCGTAAGCAGCTTACCGCTGCAGAGAGGGAGGACTGAGATCATCCTTGGAGAACGGGTTCGGATGCTTCCCTGCGCACGCGCTTCTCCGGGGAGAGGGCAGGTCCCAGTTGCTCGTTCTACCGCTTCGGCTGTTGAAAGGTAAGAAGCTCAGAACAGCAGCGGTGGTGAATGGTGCGGTAAACGCTGCTGAAACAGAACTGGGTTGCACTGGCAACTGGAATTTGTTTGGGTTAAA